AAAAAGTTTTTGAGTCTACGAGCAACAAGGGTTGCCATCTTTGAATTGGAGATGTACCTAGCACTCTACATCGCCTAAATGTGAAGAAAATGAGTAAAAAGGGGCTAACGAAAACCGTTTTTACTCCTACAGATGATGATGGAAAACAATGGCAGAAAAGTTTGTTATTTGGGTGCATGTAAACTTCTACACAAAAATCTAATTTACACGTGTGAAAAATTTGAAAACACTCTGAACAAAATTAATATAAAGCTGTATAGCAGTGTGATATATTTATTCACTATCAACGCAAGTGAAATATTTGGATTGAGCAATCTTCAATGGTCTAGAAATTAATTATATCTCTATTAAGCAAGGTACCCGCTTTGGGGAAGTTATTACAACACATTTCAATCTTTCAAAACCTTTTCATCATTTGTAGCTTCAAATTTGGGGTTCGCATGCTCTTCTCTGTTCAGCAACTCAAGTTCTCGAACACTCCCATCCTCTTTCTTCTTTTCTTCCTCCTCGTCCACTAGTTTGAGTCCTTTGGCCCAGTACACCACCCAAATGTCAGAGAGCAATGAGAGCACTCGTAGGCCACCATAGATGAGATGGATTCTGAAAAAGCTTGGATTCAAGCGAAAAAGTCAGAGGCAGTGCACCTACCGTATTCGCAATTCATCAGTGTCATAAATAGGACATGCTCCAGTCTTACTACATAAATTCTGCCACATCAAGCAGCTCATATCAAATATTTTGCCCCAAAACACAGGCGACGGTAATGTGGCTGAAAATTCAATGATGTCAATGATTAAAATGAAAATGCAAAGATCAAATAAATAAACACGGTTCTCCGAAAAAACGTGGTCAAAATCACAAAAATCACAGCCACTCCAGAAATGACTTCAGAATAGCGTTAGATATCTTATGAACAAAGCATTTGTGAATGCTATCGTCAACTATGGCTGAAAATGCTCCCTTCCTTTCTTTTCTGTGGTTCCACAACTTTTTCGTTATTTTTTTTACAAGTCCTAGCCTAGTCCCAGTCTACATTCCTTTAAACTCACCTAACAAGCTGACGAGAAATCCATTAAAACCGAGCGAGATACTTCGATGCTCCGGAGGGACGGACCTAGAATATTCTCTTACTTTCTCAAATTTGGTATGGCCAAAAGCAAATTTACCTTAGCACAATCAACATTCCAGGCACTACTGATAATCCTCCAAACACAGCACCAAGCGCTTGATTGAAGAAAAATGTGTTAAATTGGCTGTTACAGTGCTCTAAACAGGTAGTTTTTGTGAGTTAGAAGTTACGCAAAATTTTTGACATAAGTAATTTTGATATGAAAGTATATTGAGGCCATTTTTGCTCTGATCAACTATGGAACCTAAACAGCTATGCCTTCAAAAACTCAGTATTTGTCTAGCCGGTGATATTGAAGTAGTGTCTCA